CAAACTTCACTCAGGTGCTGCTGCCTCTCTGCAGGCCAGCCCTGCCCACCAGGTGAAAACCAGTGCTCTCCTGCTAGGCTGCAGGAGGGTGGGGTGTGAGTCAGAGGGGAAAATTTCTCACCTGAAATCACACAAGCCAAGTCACCCCAGCTGCCAGGGTTTGTGTGAAGTCAGAGAAGCTGTGGGAGGGTTGCTGCAGACCCTGCATTGGATATTTGAATTCATGTGCCAGCTGTGTTGTTTAAAACCTTTGCTTATGTTGCATCTCCACAAAGAGCAGTTGCACTGCTGGGTGACAACTCTTGTGATCTCTGTGGCACACCAAGACCTGCCTGTGTTTCTGCGTGCTGACCTGTGCAAGTTATGGTGTGCTGTTGTAAAATTAAACATCTCACAGCTCAGTATCTCCTTCCTTCTGTTCAACCTGGTCTGGTGAAAGGAGGTTTAACATGGGAGTTGTGTCTGGCTCCTGCATTTTGGCCTGGCTCCAGCTAAGCACTTAAACCTGCCCTGCAAAACCCAAGGCCAAACACGTGCTTACCTGTGCTGCTGGACCAGAGCCATGGGGGAAGAGGAGGAAACTCACTCTTGTCATATTTGAACTGTGACTGACAGTTTGGCCTTTACCCACACAGAAATGTGATTTATTGTAAATCTGCTGGTTGCATTCATGCCTGCATGCTCCATGCAATTCTTTAGGTTAAAGGAAGCTGTTATCAAGAACGGAGTGCCTCTCCCTCCTGGGTGTTAGAAGATTTTATTTATCATTTGGCTGTGAGTTTTCTTTGTGGTGTTACCTGCTGATTTCTGGTTCAGCCTCTCCCCTGCCCCATATCATTATCTGAGCTGAAGATCTACAGCAGTGATCAAAGAAAACATTTTGTCATCATCACAGATAATTTGAGATCCCTGCTATATTTTTGCATATGGGCTGTAATTGCTTGAAAACCACATGGATTTTTTTCTTGTTCTCTCTGTGGATTTTTCTTCTCAAACAAAGTTCTGCAGCATGTGCAAACTGTAGCACATGGTTTGCAACTCTTTAACAGGGCAGTGTATTCATACTTGGAATATTAATGAATGAAGAGCCAAGAAGTTTCTGAAAAGTAACTCCTATTACCAGAGCTAAACTGGTTATATAATATAAATATACTATACTATACTATAATATAATATAAGTCACAAAAATATTATTACATTATTTAAAAAAAAGTTTGTCCAATCTTTCTGTCCTTAAGGAATAGTATGGAATTTTACAATATAATATAATAAGTCACAAAAATATTATTACATTATTAAAAAAAAAAGTTTGTCCAATCTTTCTGTCCTTAAGGAATAGTATGGAATTTTACAGTGTATGAAACGGTATGGGTAATTCTTTAACTTTATTAAAAAAATACACCATCAATTCCTATGGTAATTTCAAATTAAAATTGTAATTTTGTGAAAAATGTATTTAATTTATGTGACAGAGAGATCTACATAACTTTAGGAGAGCAGCCAATTTATGACATTTAAGCATATTGTCAAGGCAATTTTATTACACTCATGAGAATATTCCAGCTGAAATTATGCATACGGCCCTAAAAGCAATAAATGTTGAGCAATATTTAACTTAGAGGTAAAGAATCAATTAATATTTGCACTGCTAAGCATGCACTTATTTCTTTTTGTATTTCTTTTTTTTTTCTCTTCATGTATTTACCCTGTCCTAATAATGAAAAAGAGTTATCAGAAGAACTGAGGATGTGTCCCCTGATAAAGTACTCAAAGCTTTATTATTAGATCACATTTGAGATGTATAGAACACACTGCTAATAAATTTATCATTAATCCTTTAAAAAGAATTTTAAAAAATAGGATCTCAAGCCTAGTTATCCTAAGATCAGTGAGGAAATTGCCACCATTGGAAGGCAGATTGGAATGTACAATGAATTCTTGCACTCCAGACTCTGATAATGACAATAATTAAAACTGGCATGATTTTTGCCTTTTTACCTGAACGTGTTTCACTTAAAACAGAGAGAATTCTGGTTTAGGTTGGTGTAAAAGAGAAGGGAAGCTAATTACATCCCCAGGAACATCCCACCATTCTGCTCTAATCTTATTGAGAACACACTGATGGAGTGGGCTGGAAGTCAGTGCAAGCCTAATGCTAAGAAGCTTAGAATGAACATGATTGATTCAAATGGGACTGTTAAGTTTATATGGAAAACTGTGATTATGCAATCAAATTCATGTAGTGAGCCCTTGATACACACATCAGAAAATCTACTAACAGCACTGGGAGCTGAATATTAGCTGTCTTTAATCTGTTTCCTTTATAAAATTGAATGGAAGCATTTAAAAATCTCCTGTCAGTGACTTAAAAAACCCCAAACAACCCACCAAAACCCACAAAAAAGCCCCAGAACAAAACATATATAAGAAAAGCCTAACAAAGCAAGCAAGAAAAAAACCAAAACAACTAAACCTAAGCAGAAATATAACACCACTGCCAAAGTAAGTAAATAAGTACATACATACATATATACATACATACAAACATACAAAAAAGCAAATGAAAACCAAAACACCAAAACAGTGGAATTTAGGCAGTGGAAATGTTGAACTATTTTATTCACAAGCCCTTAAGCAAATATAAAGGTGCTTAGATCAACTAAGTATTGGCATGCAAATGAAGATCCCTTAAAAAAATAATAGTTCCTACTTTGAATAATAACTAATACCTTATAGATCATTAAAAAAGCCTTAAGCATCTGATGGAGTTAACTGGGGGGTAGTCATGAAGCATATCTCTTTTTGTGACACCTGCTGTAGCCTGCATTTTTCACAGGGGAGGATGAATTTCAGTGTTTTTCTTAAAATGTAATTCCAGCTTTTAAAATTTCTTCTTTCCAATTCAAATTCTAAACCCTAAGTGTTTTGTGGGCTAGCTTTTTAAATTATAAGTGCTCGAGATCAAAACTGTGCTCTGAGCAGTGTCTGTGTGGGTCCCATAAATTCCAAGTAGGCACCTCCTATATTTTTCAGTTAAAAGCAGAAGTGGGGAATGGCTTTCAAGATAAACTTTGCTTTTCTTTTTTCCCTATTGGTGAAGTTTTCATGTTCTATATAATTCCAGAGTATAGTGGCCACAGGACTTGCATGGACATGAATCCCCCCAGTGTAGTTCTTCTTTCTTTCTGTTGGCTTTATAGGGATCCCACCATGGGTATCTTTCCAACCTCTGCACTCTAATAAGGAACCTAAATTAGGTGTGATGGATCTGAGACAAATAACTCCGGTGACATTGTGAGATTTCTTTTGTTTTTGCTGGCAAAGCATTTAAGCATGAATTTTTACTGCTCAATAAAGCAGTTAATAATAGTTTAAAGTATAAGTCTGGGTCGAAGTATGTGATTGAATCAGATCCTTTGAAGTTCACTGACCTGTGGTAAATTGGGAATTTCATGGCTGACTGCACAATTAAACTTTGACTTCAGGGCATATTTAGGTTTAAATTTCTCATTAGGAAGTAATTCTGAAGCAAGATTTTTTCTCCTGACAAATGCAAATAAGTTGTGTAGAGGTTAAACAAAAATTTTATTTTGCAATTAAAACCAAATTTATGCTAATTTTTATAATTTATTTCTCTGCTTCAGGTAAAAGTAATTGGTTCATAGCTTAATATTCAGGTAATCTTTGAACCTCCAGCAAGCTTTCTTACACATTTTCTAGGTTCAATTCATATGAAAAAAATTCCTTTTTTTTTCATTTGTCTCAGTCTCTTATGAATTATCTTTTAAAAGATAAAGGGAGACAGCAACATGGATTGAGTAATATTCTACAAAATCCTATTAGAACTGAAAGATCACTCTCTTGATGCTTAAAGTATTAAATTTGGCAACTACTGAATCCTTTTTCACACCAGTAAGTGTGAAGAAAGTGCCTTAATAGAAGGTAATTGAGACAGGAAGACAGGATTACAAAAAATAGATCCTGAAAGGTCCATTCAATTACCAGGAATACTCCTCTGCCTACTGTAGTACACTCATTACTGCTGGAATGCTGATTGAGACTCCCATATACTGCCACAGCCCCACAGGAGTCTGCAGTACAATTTTGGTTCATGTTATTTGAAGATTTGCCTCAAGTTGTGATGATATAAAACCATATCTGATGGTATAAAATAATCTGTGAATTGGAAACATAATTTAAATTTAATTCACAGTACTTATTCAAAAAATTGGTGTCATGTTTTAAAAGCTGGGATTTTACAATAAAATGGGACTATTTATCTGTCTTGTTCTGTGCTGGATATGTTTTTACCACTTTCCAGGTGAACAGAGCAAAGACACATATTTTGAATTACAAATTCAGGGGCGCATGTACATTATCAAAAAGCAGATTCAGAGACTCTTTGTTTATCAGATTCCAATTACACTTCCTGTGGAGTCTGTCTCCACAGCCAGACATGATTAATCCTTCCTTCATCAAGGATTTTGGAAATGGAGGATTTCACTCATTTTTCTCTCGGAAAAGCCAATGCTCTGTCTGGGCTTGATCCTTGCATTTCAGTTGCAGGTTTTTTGTTTAGGTAGCTGAAAGTTGGAGCAGCATGAACACCTAATGCATTAAATGCCTCCCTAAGATGGGGACCTGCCCACGCTGCGTTTGGTGGGACCTTTGGAAGAAAGACCAGGCTTTATCTCCTGACCCATCTGGCCTGGGGAGTTTGCAGTCAATCTGGAATTTGTTCCACCCCGTGAGCAGCAACCACATCCATCTGTTCCATCATGTAAGGAGCAGAGACAGACACTGGGATGGGGATGGCTGGCACAGCAGAGCTTTTTCCTGCATGGATGGTGGGGATGAGGGGTTCACACGGACACACTGCAGTGACAGCATCTCAAACCAACACTTCAGCCACAGTTAGGGGACAAACGATGGATGCAATGTGGTGGTACAACTGCACATCACACATACATGATGCAGAGATGGCTATGGAAAATACTCACTTTTTCACTTGATTCTGCTTCCTTTTGGCTTCTGCACCCCTTTGGTGCATAGCAGGGAAGTAGGTATTTGTGTTTAGTGGAAGAAATTACACTGACTAACAGACACAAGCATTTTACTCATAAATTTATCATAGACTATTGCTGAGGAGACTGACAGACAGCCACTACAAATGGTGTGTTAAACATTTAATGAACCCAGGCTGAACTCCTGGCCCTGTTGAAGCCAATGGAAGTTTTTGCATGTCAATCTTTTTTGGGGTGCAGTGAAGATTGATAGGGGGTGGCATTTTATGTGGGTTTCTAATTGTTTGTTAATCACTTAATGGAAAATTAGAAATGATGCCTTAAACAGAGCATCTTTTTCCTTTGTGTAATTTCTTCATAGACATTGGAGCTCACCATGAAGAAAACCTGGTGTTCAACAGGGGCTGAGGAGGAGGTGCCAGACCTGGTTTCCAAATTAGTAGATGGTATTTCTAGAATGTGTATTAGTGCAGCATATCTGTGACACTCTTCTAGAGAAGTACGTGCTGGTGTGTGTGCATCTTAGAACTTTCTAAAATACAGTAGCTGTTATCCTAAATCATGACAGGAATAAATCAGGACTGTGGATTTCGTTTAAGGCTCTCATGTAAAACCAGCTTCCAGCAATTTCCATTCCTGATGAGCTGGAAGTATTTGTGTGCAGTAAATACCGGCAGTAAGCTAAATGCACTTGCCTGGGGAACAAACTCAAGTAAGTGAGCAACATGAGGGAATAAAATCCACTCTCATAACAAGAGTGCTGTGGTTTACAGTAGTGTTCAGTCACTGTCTTTAAGAAACTAATGGAACCACCAAATGCTTGGTGGCCACTCCAAGGTATGTGTAAAGTTTAGTGTGGGGACGTGTGTCCTTCTTTTGACTGAAGGTGTAAAAATGAAAGCAATGAGATGTGCTAAGTCACATATTCTGATCCAGACCAGGAGCAGAACCCCAGTGAGAGCTTAGGAATGGGATCTGAGATATTAGAAATGACACTACTGTGAACTGCTTGTTTCTTATTTTACATATGCACCGAATGGGAATATTTAATACATGAATTGCAAATGAGTATTTATGGCTTGACAATTGATGGCATGAATTAGAACCGAGATTTTAAACTAGCTTTAAACAACTTTCTGGTAACTGGACTGGGGGGAAAAATGCATTTTTTGTTTAAATTTTCACATCAAACCATCTAAACCCCCAATATTCACCCCAGGCTATTTTCCCCCCTCGGTGAAGCAGCGGGATGCCGCTGGCGCGGGATGGGTCCCCCAGTGGGGCTGGGGACTCGCGCGGCGCCCGCGGCCCCCTCAGAGCCCCGCGCTCTGCCCACCTGGGATGCCACAGTGAGGAGGGGCTTTTCTTCTGCAGACTCCTCCCTCGGAATCTCCTTCATCACCATGGCCACAGCCTTATCGGCCGCCCTAGCGCCTTTGCCCTACAACAGCGAAACCAACAATGGCGCCAGGTCAGCAGCGGGCTCCGACCGCCTCCTGCGCGCGCTCCGACCCGGCCCAGCGGGACGCCGGCCGCGCCTGCGCCTGGAAGCGAAGCTCGGTTGGAAGCAGAACACACACACACTGGTTAAAAATAGTAAAAATAATAATAATATAACAAATGGTCGGTCAACCCAATGGTTAAGGAGGCAGTTGGGGTCTAGCCGTGGTCTGGTGGCTCGTTCGAGTTGCCCCAATGAAGTCAACAGGAATCCGGCACTTTCCTGCTGGGCCGAGGCCTGCTGGAAGTTCCCTCATGCCAACCTTCTGCAGGATAGGCTCACCAGAGCAGTAGGGGTTGGAGGATCAGCCCGTTGATTTAATTTTAGTTACCCAAGTTTATACCCAAAATACATCTTCATGAGTTTTTTCTGGCTTTTTCTTAAAAATAGCGTCAAGCGGAGTTTTCAAATAAAGCACAGTTCCTTGTTGTTCACTGAGGCAAACTCTCCCTGAAATTTGAATGTATAATCTGGACCCACAGAGTTTATAGCTCTAGTAACATTTTAAAAAGCAATTTACACCATATAAACAGTCTGGGTTTTTGCTAACAGAACATACGGAGCCAAATTCTGCCATCGTACGCATTGCTACAGCTCTCCCTAAAATTATCATTGTTGTAGAACTTACTGTATGGATTTTCACTTTTCTTAAACTTCTCTTAATACATTGTAGATATTCTGGACAAGGTTAAGATATTTTAACATTATTTACTATAAATTATCCAAATAAAAAGTGCACCAGTATTATGTGCCATGTTGTTTGATGACATTCTTTTTATCTAACGAGGGTCTCTATCATCTTGAGTTCTCATGGGTTTCTGTATCTTGATCTTTGGTCTTATTTTGATCTCTGCCTCTTGCAAGTGACAGAGAAGGTTGGAGCTTACACATAAAGCATCACAGCAGAGCTGTATTATGCCAGTGACCCTGGGCAGGTCCTTATTATTATACTTTAAAAGCTCCCATTGATTTCCATGGAAGTTTTAGCTGTGCAAAGACCGCAGGATCTGGCTCCATAAAAGAAGTATTTTACACTGGACTTAAATATATTTAAATCCTTAAAACTCTATTAACAGAAGGGGCTCTTTGCTAAGACATTATATACAAGAATTATCTTCACTAGCAGTATATTCTGTGTCAAGTTAACCCCCTGTCCTGGGTTGACTATTGCTTATACCAAACTACAGATGGTTTCAGGAACATTTCATCAATTGCAGGTAAAACCATTGCGTACTATTGCAGGGTCTAAATGGATTTCATTACTGGTCAGGTCAATATTAGATTAGCTTGCTTGTGCAACACATCACAGATACCCTACAGAGAGTTCTTTGCATGCTGCAAGAAATTCTCAGAGCAGAAGTGTCATAAATGATAAGCATGCTGGACTTGTGATGCCTTTGATATCCAAAGAACTGCAAAGTCATTGTAAAATTAAATATATTAAATTCAATGGGAATTACATTTAATTGGTAAGCATATCAAAGGTTCTGGGCCAATTACGTGTTTGTTCATGATTCACATGACATATTCCAGGTCTATGAAGCTTGTTTCCAGTATGACACATGAGCTATCATTAGCTAGCACTAATAGCATGCTATTGGTCTTTATAAAATGTAGTCCTTTTGTGCTGAGTGCTAGAACAAAATCGTTTATCAGCTAGGAAGGATGCATTGGAAAGCATGCAGTGCTTTTTATTTCTTGCAGAGTAAAAACCCACCAAAGCAAAGGTCAGGTCACTTTTTTGAAGACAGAGCCACTTTTTCTTCAAGGTTTCACCTACTGCCTGAAAAGAGTCATGATACTGGTATTAGTGCCTGCTGTTCATCCTCCACACACGTCACTGCAAAGCCCTGGGAGTGGCTGACACCAAATACAAAATCTGTCTCACCACTTTAAAGTGGCCATGCTACAACGGAGAAAAGCAACCAAAGAGTACCTCTGTGCTATTTTTAATGAGCAGACTAAGCTTATTTGCTGGGCAAAGCAAGTGGTTTGATGCTACTTTTTTTTTTCTTTTTTAAAATTTAGATTGTTAACTTTCCTAAAAGCAAAACACACTTTCCTGTGTATAAGTCAGGTTGACGTCTTTGCCTGGTCAGCCTATGGTATGGGAAGCATTTTTAAACTAGAAGTTGGTACTAATGTCCTGGATGCCAAAGAGAAAGCCAATGCAGGGGAATAGCTTAAATTGTCAGATTCTGCTGGAGAGGTACACAGGGGAGCAATTAACTGGAAAATGCAGCTTTTTATTCTGTTGACCAGAAATTAATACTGTTGTTCTATGTAAGGTAGGTAACCTTGAAAATTTTGGTCTCTCTTCCCTGCAGTGACCACTGTGCAGCCAATTCTTGCCAATGAAGCCATTAGGCTGAAGAGCTGGAGAGAAATAAAACCAGTTTTCCTGTGGTCAGGATGACCTTGTTATTGTTGTCAACTGCAGCTGAAATGAAAATCTCCAGCACATTTATTACAATAACTGTTGAAGAATTATTATTTTTTTTAAGGTGTTAGTTACTTAGCCTCTTTTGATATGAAGTGTTGTTTCTTAGCAAGCCAAAGTGCCTGGCACAGCAGTTTATTGCTCAAACCCTGTAATTCTCTAACAGCTAATTTTAGACATGCCAGAACTTCAAAACAAACAGTTTGCTGGTACTGGAGGTTTGCAAGGTCAGTTACTTTCTCATGTAAACCATAGTTTAACAATTTAGTAAATTAATTTTGTCATTCCCTATTGGTTTACAATATAGAAATGGAAACAACTGTGATGTAGAACATGACAACCCATGTGCAAATTATGACAAATGTGAATTGATGAAGGAAAAATGTATTAATTTTTTAATGGAACATACTGCTTAAGAGAAACTGAGAAATGTGTCAGTGTTTCATTATTTGATACCAAAAAAAAAATGCAACAGTTCCTTTAGGTAATATCTCCAAAGCAAAATAAGGAGTAGAGATCAGAGTATTCCCCTGATGCTAAATATTTATAACAGCATTGGTTTCAAAACTTAATAACAATTTCTGTAAGCTTTTCCTTTGGGATCAGATAATGGGTAGTAATAGACATTTCCATAGTATGCTGATTTAGCAGGATTTTGTAAGGAAATACTTTTATTCTGCTGCAGTTTCTGAATAGTTCCAAATTCAATTTTGTACAAGTCACACGATTTAGATGTGGTACTTAGTAATGAGTATTTAATTAAATTACTGAAAGAGCATATTAATGTAAATTTCTAGTGCAGTATAAAGTTGACTTTTTTTTAATAAGTGATGCATGTAGATTTGTAACTATGATTGTCTATGAAAAACTTTAAGTACTTGGGACCAACAGATCACCTTCAGGTCCTGATGGGCAAATCAGAATGAAGACATGCTCACACTTGAAACATTACTATTTAGAGCAATACTCTATAATTCTGTAATTATTTTCTTCATTACAGTGATTTGCAAATTTGTTCTTGTGCATGAAAAGCCAACAGCCAGTGCTTTGTAAATGTTTAACATTTTGACAACAGTATTTAAACTATAATGATTAATTGCAGAAATTATTTGTTGTCATCTATGCAATAAAGGGATTTTATCCAAAACCATTTCATAATTATAAGTTGGCTTTTGACAAATATTTGAGGTACTTGAGTCCTAAATTCATTTTTCAGGAATATTTATAGCATCTGTTCTTGTGAGAAAGTGAGCAGAAAGAAATGGAGTGATGGGATTTTCTTTTTTTTTAACATGCATACATGAAGAAAGTATTCCTTGGTTACACAGACCTGTGCTGTTCCATTTATTTTTCAAAGATCCTACCAAGTTGTTTCATCTTTAATTGACACACTACAATGCATCCCTGCTCACAGAAATCATCTCAGCACGGGCATGTTTAAATTTCAGCTTCTGTAAAATATAAGTTTTAAGACAGCTTTCCTTATAAAGAAACTTAATTGATAAATTTAACTATTAAAATTTATCTTCAGACAGTGCTGGTACAGATATGGCAGGATTACATGTTTCATGGGCATCTCCCTTTCTAGCTGAGGAGAAAGAGAATAACATTTATAAATGTAATGCCAAAAAATATGGCCAGATGTCCTGACCTTTCCCACTGGGCTGTTGAATTGAAATGTTTGAAAACAAAATAAAAACAAAACCCACCAGTTCAGGACATCTTGAAGTACCAGTCTGCACTTTAAATATCTTTAATAGGTTGAGAGGGCCTTTGTAAAGCAAACTTTATGAAAGATGCATTAGTGAGAACTTGAAGTTTGAGGAGCTGTTGTCCTCCTGTGCTGGAGAAAGAGCAGGGAGCTGCTGAACGTGTTGGATCTGGGAGGCTTGGCTGCCCTCCAGATCCCCCAGCAGCTGATGTATTAGAGTACCAGCTAAGCAGCCTATTCCAAATGCCTTTATGCTCCACAAATCTTCCTGTTTTGTGCAACTAAAAAATAAAAGTGAAGGGAAAAACTTGGCTTTATTTTTTTAAATCATGCAGTGCTAATGTTTTTACCTCTCAAAATGAGCACACAGTACCATGGGAGTTCACTCTCCACAATACAAGTGTGAGCTCTTGATTTACATAAGATCTGTTTATTGCTTCAAATTTTTCTCTTCTCAGGCTTTTATGTTCCTGTTTTCTGCATATGTCTTTCTTCTCACCTATGCTTTTCTACTTTTTCCTAGTGATGTTATGTCTTGCATTTCATATATAATTAAAAATAATGAGGAAACATATGGTGAGGCAGTTTTATGGATGAATATAAGATTGATATTTAAACATAAAATTCTGTTTCATCAAATCTCATGGTATTTTTTTTTTTTTTATTATGAGCCTAATAAAGTCAAGTATGTATCGAAAATTCTGTTTCATCAAATCTCATGGTAGGTTTGTTTTTTTTTTTTATTATGAGCCTAATAAAGTCAAGTATGTATCTCAGATAAATGGGAACACAATTCCTTTAGGCAGTGCACAGTTGACCATGGTGAGGAAAGCTGAACAAGCTCTCAGTCCTGAACTGGAAGCAGCTTTGTCAGGATTCAGACTAGGTTTCAGAACCTGATCTACTATTTTGAGGTTGTATTTGCATAATTTGGAACCTCTTATCAAGCTCTGTTAGTGATTATCCAAAATCTTTTGACTCGTGACCTTCAGTAGCTCATTCTTACAAGATTATGATGAAATACAGAGTTGGTTACAGACAAGGAAGCAGCTATAGGAAGACTTGCCCAAGAAGTAATTTATAGTAAAGCAGCTAAATCCATATTGGCTGAGTTCACAGTGTTCTACTCCTTTCATCCCTTTCCCCATCTTTTCATTCTTATGTTGATAGAATAACAGATTTCAGTGTTAATATGGGAAGACTTTACTGCATTCAAGAAAAATAGCAAGTAAAGGGACAAAAGCTTATAAAAGGCAATCAGCATAAATATTCACATTTCCCCTCTCTGGGTTGTGTCTTATATCCATTCCATTTAAATGTCGATAGGGTGGTTGAGTTCCAGTTTGAGAAGTATTTGCATTGAAATGGCACTGGAAGGTTTCTGTTTATTGAGTCTCAGTAACAGCTGCATCATGTGTGCTCCCTTGAGAAGCTGTCTCGGTCTGAAGCCTATGGATTCATTCCCAAAGCCAAGTGGGACAGCTTCCAAAGCACCTCTGGTGGAAGCTTGGAAGCTCTGCAAGACCCATTTTGCTCTCAAGAACTTGTGCAAAGTTTCTTGACTTAACACATCTGAACACAAATTATGACTGGAAATGAATAAACAATTCTGTCAAATCTAACTCATTCTCTATAAGCTAGTATGATTCCTGCAGGCTAAGAGGAGGAGGAGGATGTGAAATAAGGTTTTTTTCCTCTCTTAAGTCAAAGAGTTTTATTTGGGGTATAACAGGGAGTGCACAGTTTGAGATAACACGAAGATAACAACACCATAATGTTGGAACAATAATGATGATTTAACTGTAAATAGTAAATCCAGCTGGGAATATAGGGCAGGGCTGGTAAGAAGAAGGAGGTCTGGGACAGAACTAACTATATAGAGGTTGTTTAAGGTTCTGCTCCTTTTACAACCGAGTTATATAATAAATCTCCTTGTGATAGAAGGCTTGGATGAGACGTTTTGCAGTCTTTTCTTTCCTTACAATTGTCATCTTTAATAAGACCATTGTGAATATGTAGAAACTATTTTTTAGCACTTATTTGATTGACTTCTTAATAATTTGGAATTGCATTACCAAAGGGATGAGTGCTTTGACTGCACAATGGTATATGACTTCAAAAATCTTAGGGAATAGCTGCGGGGTTTCTTTCATCTCTGCTTAGTCTGTGTCAAGGAACTTTGTGAATTCACTGGGTTTAGCAACTGGCAATTTTAAATTTGTTTGGTAGTCTTCAGCAAAGAATTAATACTGAAGTATTTTCTCTCCCATAATTTGAGTTCCTTTTGTGTTGACTTCAGTATCATGATCCCCAGTCATAACATACACATAGCAACAGAATTACTTGCTATTATTTGCTGTATTGCCATGATGATCCATGTGCTGAATTAAAATAAAAGATTCCTCTGGTCAGTTCCAGTGAAATTCCAGGAGATCAGGTCACTTTCAAAATAAACAATTGTGAATAAAGTGCTGCCTGTTGTTTAAATGTTTACTGCACACATGATGTGCAAATGATGGATTTTGCTCCCTCATTTCCTTCCAGCACATGATGTATTGTTCTTTGAAGTGGTAGGGGTTCCTCAACTCCTGCTACACAAATTTTATGGTTTTGTTTCATGAAACATTCAGAG